TAGCATTGAAATCTACTTACCATTTTTGGCCCATTTACTTAAAGAATAAATGTCTAGGTTAAGGACAGTCTCTATTTCTTGACAGGAAGAAGATATGTGTAAGAGAGAAGTATCGTCTGCGAAAAGTCTAGAGGCAGAAAGCAATACATCAGTTATGTCATAAATATATACTAAGAATAATAATAATAAAGTAGAACCTTTAGGAACTGCTGCTTTTATGAAACCAGCACGAGAAAGAGAATTCGATATAAAAACGTAGCCACGGAGACAGATCCGGACACTAAGTAGTAAAACCAGGGAACATCTCAAAATTATTTTTCATTTCATCTGTATTAGGTATTCCTGTCCCCTTACTTGTGACAAAACACTAGATAACGATCTTTTAGTGTTCCTTGCCTACAGTTACATCCCCTGGTTTTCATTACATGTACAACTGATAAACTTCTCTTTGCTGATCTCACCATAATGGGTTTTTTTTTCACAAAAGATTTTTTTTTAAAATTACGGTTTATACTGAACACAATGCTAGAGTTGAACGCAGTAGTATAGAAATCCAAAAATTCACTCCACTGAAATGATCCCTAAAATAGTCTTCTAAGAATAGCATAAAATGATTTTGACAACCCCCCTCGAAAATAGAAGAAAACTGAACAAATTTCTACTTCCTTCTGTTGATATTTTTTTAGGAGAATAAACAAAAACATCTGTAAATACAGACTTCTTTTATGGCCAATAGTGTAGCTCACATGATAAAGGTCGCTTCGTCGCCATCATGTTACTGTTACGAAATAACATTCATAAAAGTTACTTTGCCACAAAGGGATGCTAATAAGTGTCCTTGTGTCCAACCACCTCTATACAAAAATGCAAAGGAATGAAGACCGGAAAATGTGTGGAACAAATACCTTCAGCTTAACGCTATTATAAAAAGATACCGTGTAAGCGTTAAATACTTCTTTCGTAATATGGGAATATCATGTCGTATGAAGTTTGTGGATGGTAAATTTAATCCACAAATGTATATGTGATCCCTGTCACTCTGGTAAAATTTAAACTTCTTCCAACTGTTTCTTTTTGGCTCGGGGAATTTCTTTTGACTTAATCGGCGTCAGAAAAAAACAACAGATCAAGACGTTCCGGGCGATATCCTTAACGGAGTTATTTTTAATATATCAATTACCACGGTTACATACCCGCCGCATTGAGCCACGAAAAAGGCTATAACGACTGTGGTCAGGTGGTTACCGGTTACATAAATTCTAATCTGTGTCTCCATATGATGTTCCCGTTCGTTTACCTGTTGTCACGTACATGTGCATCTACACACTCTGACATATCTTATACGCTACGTTCCATATCAAATCCTTTTTTTTAAATCACCCCTGTATTTGTCTAGGTCTCTGTCTCCACGCTCCGTTCTAGGTCTACTCCGCAGTGAGAAAGTTGGTCCTCGGATGGGAAAGTGTTGGAAAGTATTTTTTTAAAGTCTGGGATACCCAGTTACTTTCAAAGATATAGTGAATATGTCTATATTTGCAGTATCATATTAACAATACTTAATATCTCAGCAGTTCAAAAATTCATATTTCCGTTTTCATAAGTGCCGACTTTGGGAAATATGGGCAATTTGCCACCATAGTTCTTTAAGTATTACTGGTGTTTAAGTCTCTCTTATGATAACATTTGGTTTGAACACATGTACAATATACTAAGAAAAGGGTCTAGTATACAAGCGATTTAAGGGAATTTCAATTTTACATAGACAGACTAAAATTTGTCATTTCTTAGACTAATCAATCTATCCGACAGTCTCAGTCTCTTGGAAATATTGAGTTAGTAGATGCAAAATTGTTTGCTACAAATGGAACTAAACTAACTCGTCATAATAAGCTTAATGAGGAGATTGGATGAATCTTTAACATCGACGTAACATAAGAGTTCAGATTCATAAAATGATGTTTGGCCTCGACCAGGTTCATCACGCTAAAATGCGGCTAAACTGCAGCGCATTATTTGTTCATCTGTTTCGTCGTAATCTTGTTGATAGTCTTTACTGGTCCTGTAGACAGGCTTATGAAACTACTGAACAATTTCTTCCGTTTGCGCCAATTATATGGAAATAAGAAACGAATGCTTTCTTTGTAAACATTTCTGATTACTACACTCTTGATATACCTTGTACGGGAATAGAAATTTATCCATTAAGGTATTTCTAAAAGCAAAGTTTTGCAAGTTAAAAATTGTCGCCAAAAACCCCATTAATTCACGTAACCCATACAAAATATTATGATTTATCATATTCTTATATTGAGTAAAATTTATGTCAAAAATATTGAATATAAGTAGCAACTGGTACCATTATAATATCTCTCTCTGTCTCTCTCTATATGTATGTTTGTTATATATGTCTTATATTTATTTTTCAAAAGTTAACAAGTCTTATCGGGAGATGAGATTTTAAATTTACAAATGTATTCGGTACATCGTTGCCGGTGACAAAACAAAAAACTGCATGTTTTTTTGCGAATTTTCATAGCCTTAAGCATTGTATAAGTTCAATATACATGGCAAAACATAGTAAAAACAGACGAGTATCGGTGTTTAAACGTATTGATGTACAGCGCAGATTTACAGGTTTTTTGAAGACTATATTTACTATGTTGCACACAACATGGGATCTAACATAGGTCGATTTGTCAAGAAATTGAGACAGAAACGACATATTCCTGTCTTACCATATTTTAGTTTGCGAAGCAGACAATAACAGCTAAACGTAAATTTTAATGATCATCTATATCGATTTACTTGAACACAGAGAAAATTAATCATTTTCATACTAGGAAAATTGACTTTACAAATGTATCTTTGGGCACAATCATGCAACAAAAACAGTAACTTACTTAAGACATCTTTCATTAAGTCTATCTAACCTCGACATTGCTTATAAGTGTTACATCCTTTTTAATGGTTCACCTTAATACATTTTGATTACAAACTTGATATAAATATCAGTTCTCGTGAAGATCACTTAGGGCAATCTTGTTCATTTTCAAATTGGTTTAATTTATTAAAGGTCAGTACATATATGTTAATACCTTGTATACTTAAAACAAAAACGTCTAATTGCATTTTCCCCGTCATTTGGTACAATAAAAATCAAATAGATTTGTAAATGCAAATGGCAAATTTATCGTGACAAGTTACAAAGCAGTCAAAACATTAAATAATGGAACCATAAATCAACTGTAACTTCCTTCACTCTCCTCTATTAACTAAAAATTGAAGACTAACTTATCCTATTTAGTATTGGAACTATTGATCTATGATCAATATTTTCGAGTGGCTAATGTGTCCTTACGTAAAAAAACCTTGATAAAACAAAGCGCGGAAATCTACAGGTTGAAATATTAACATTTTACATAATTTTTCCAGATTAATCTCTATGCATTAACGTGAATGAAATTCATATCAATGTGTAATATTCATGCATGCTTATACTAAATTTAAATATTCGAACATTCCTGTTTCAATATCGCAATATGAAAGTAACATGCTATATAGTCAACTGTTCGTAATATAGAAATGAATAATCACTCACCAATCTCAACGATGTTGGTACGGACGAATTGCCGAACGGGAGAATGATCAATAATACCACCAACATAAACAGCATCGTGCTTGTATTGTCAATCTACAGCAATACTGCAATGACGAAACTTACACACGAGGTGGTCTGTGGGGACTCTATTCCTTACAAAACACCTTGATGTTTATATACAGTATTTGAACACCACCCCTTTATCTCACTGGTCAATAAAAATGACTGACAGCTTTCAATTCGAGATCGCATGAAAACATGTCTACTTGCATTTGTGAATTGCACTCATTGTGGTCGTTTTGCTCGGTTAAACAATCATGGATATCATCCAGGTAATTTATAAAAAATAATATGCTTGTTTTGATGTTAAGTCTAGCTGATTTTATTCCAAATACCATGAAAATGTAATCTAATACTAGCATATCTCTTTGCAATACTTTATAGAACAGTAATTTGAGGGGGGAAGTTTAAATACGTATCCAATATTTTCTGTTTAAAGGTTCTGGTTAATCTGATACTTCTCGTCAAAACGATACATTCTGATAGACAACCGACCTGGGACGTTTGCGAGTGCAGGTTTGATTCTTGGGGGGCTTGGTCCCAATGCACTAAAACATGTGGTGGCGGAATAAGAAAACGATCTAGGTCGGTGTATTTCTTAAATAAACCAGGCTGTAATGAATTCTCAGACTGCGCAACACCTGGGAGTGGATGGCAAACAGATCACTGCAACAATATTTGTTTTAATGGTGGAACATTTCAATTATTTTGGTGCAATTGTATAACTGGCTGGAAGGGAGGATGCTGTGATGACCGTAAGTATTTTGTAGCATACATAAGGTATTAAGCATTTGTATTACCGGTTTAATATCACTTCCGTTAGAAGGACAGAAGTGTTATGACATAAAAAAGAGTGAGACAAAATTCAACATGAAAGGTGACGGTGAACACATTAAATGTTAATTAAATAAAAGAACATACGAAAGCATATAAGCATCTTTTTGAAAGAGCGTTTTATTAAGATTATAAACGTGTTAAAGCGGGGAAATATTTACTTTGGTTTGCTTTGGTTTTATTTTATTTAATGTCCTATCAAAGTCTAAGGGCATTTGAAGACGTGCTTCCAACCTCAGAGTGCTACCTCGCAAAAGTGCCAGGCAGAAGGCAGCCAGCACTGCATTCTGCCCGGTCACATTTTACTGACAATGGGGAAGAGCAGTTATTACCATAGCTCTAAATGATGACATATATGGGCTTTTTCGAAAGATCTTAACACTTTATTAAACTTTTATTGAAAGGCGTGACATGTGGAGATCCAGGAAGCATTGCAAATGGTGGTATGAATGGAAACGACTTCACGTATAGAAAAAGTGTAGCTTACACGTGCAACGATCTTCATAATATGACTGCAGGCAATATAGAAAGAACATGTACTCAGTATGGAACTTGGAACGGAACTACACCAGAATGCACATGTAAGTCAAATAGTAACGTAAATCGAAGCATTCTGTTTCTTTTTTCAAGCTCACTTGGTCCGAACGGCCAAGTCAGCTTATTCCAAGGCATTCTTCCGGCCGAGAGGTCGAATTATTTCTTTCAACGACCTCTCAATAACCAATAAAGCCTAGGGTGATGATATTCGGACAATATAATGCTGGGTTGAAAGGCTGAAAAAACTTGTTCAAACGAATTACAGTTTCTAGGCCACAGTGGTCAAAATGTGTTAAAATATTAGAAAAACTTTTTAATGCCCAGAAGGTCAAGGGTGATGATATCTTGCAACTAGCATTCTTGGATGAAGGACTACTCAGTTGTTAAAATTAAATACATTGACCTGCTTTCGAGTTCACTAACCACAAATCCCAGGGTGATATTCCGGCAATAGAATGCTGGGATGAAGGGCTACAAAATTTGTTCAAATGAATGACGTTTTATTCAAGGTTACTGTGGTCATATTTAAAAAAAATCTTTAAATACCTTCTTCTAAATGCAACAACATTCCATGCCTCCAGCACCCATACACACATACGCAACACCATGGAAGCACGTCCTTAAAATATCTAGACTGCTAATAGGACGTTAACGTCTGAACAACAAACCAAATCTTTACAATACCCAATAGGTCGAAGGAGCATTCTATGATGAAGGCCTACCAAGGTTACAGGGGTCAATATCAAAAAAACAAAATCAACAATTTCTACTCAATACCCAAAAGTCACTAAAAAAGCAAATGTTTAAAAAATCTTTAAATAATTTTTCAATATCCAAAGGCACAGAATGATGATATTTATCCAGTAGCATGATAGGATGAAGCGCTACAATGTTTGTTTAATTGAATGACATTGACTCACTTTCAATGTCACTTTGGTCAAATATTTGAAAAATATATAAATAACATCTTCACAATAACCAAATGTTCAGGGTGATAGCATTTAGCTAATAGTAGTTAGGGATGAAGCCCTACAGTGTTTGTTCAAATGAATGACATTGACCTTTATTCAAGGACATATTAGCCAAATGTTTAAAATAATCAACAACATTATTCTTAAGTAAAAGACCCAAGACAGTTATATTTTTTCTATGGCCTAGTTTAGCCCATTTTGATATAATCCATCTGTTAAGGGTTCTTTGTGTGAGATTAATACAAGTTAAGCGATTCAGGCCAATCTCTTTTATAAGGAAATGAACGCTAAAAAATACCTTAATCTTCAAAACAATAAACGAAATTTGACGTTGTCTACTTTTACCGTCAGTCTCATTTAATGTCTAGATTCATTCTAAGTTAACATTCTCTTCTCTCACATGTTGCGGTACTCTACATGCAGTGGAATACATCACGCATATTCTGTCCCTGTATCTGGAGGCAAATAAACCAACATACCATACCAAAAGATTTTCTCCAGGATGTTCCAAGGCCGGGACATGCTAGGGTCATTACAAATAGTAGTGCTGCTAAATGTTCAGCATATAAGTTAATCACAAACGCAACAACTGGTTTATCTGTTGTCATTAAAATGTGACCAGGTGAAATGCTATTCTACCTCATGTAACTAGGAGCCCCTGCGTTATTTTTAGAAAAGAATAGACTGGTTGTATCCCAATTCATGTCGTAAAAGTCGACTCTTGTTGGGCCCTCTGCAGAATAAATGGGGTTCTTCTGTGTCTTCTGCTAATGGAGATTCTGAAGATTCCTTAATGCCTGTAGAGTAATAATATTCAGTAATACACTTGGTGAAATATCGTTCTTGGAAACTCGTGAATAGAATAAACCACTAGAAACAGGTGAGCGTCTTCAGGCCCCTCTTGCTTCTTGTTGGATATTTTTCTACCAAGTTGGACTTGGTCCCCATTGAGGATCCATTTCATGTAAGATTTATAAAACGAGTGTGAATATATTTTCACAATCAGTTTAATTAAAATATGTAATTATTGAATATAGTTTTATCACGTTGCTAATACTTAAAATTTAAATAAAAAGATGTGCATACCTGTTTGAGCAATCCTTGTCAAAATGGCGGGAGCTGTGTGGATGGACTGAACAAATACAGTTGTCAATGTCCATCTGGATGGAGCGGTATTCATTGTGAAAGAGGTGAGTAGCAAAAGATCGGCGTTTTAAATGCATACAGATATCTACTTAAAAAGTATAAGATAATAATTAATATGTTCGCTTAGTTCACGTTGCTTGTTTTTCTGTATTTCTTTACATTTGCCCGTATATCATGTGGGGTGTTTATGGTTTGACTCTCTCCGTCCCTCCGTCTGTCTGCATTTCGTGTCCAACTAAAAACTTTGTTACATTTATTTTGATTTGTTATTAAATTTTAAAGGATTGTTGCCAATTAGCCAAGGGTGTATCATGCCCATGCTTCAAGGTCATATCCCCCAGGTTAAGGTCGGTAAACAATCATGCCCGACACCTGACTTTGCAATTCTTTCTTCGATTGTATAAAGTATTGTTGCCCATACCACAAAGATATGTCGAGACTTTTACCTACGATAAAAACCCGAAGGACAAGGTTGTGATGCACCAACATCTTTAGATTATTCACATTGCCGTGTCAGACTCATAACATTGAAATTCTTTGTAAGCTGCCGTTCGATTATTAAATGACATGACCCAGAACTTGAATATGTGTCAAAGCGATATCGAAGGGTATAATAATATCCAAAGTCAGTTGAAGCTGAAATATACTATTCTTCATCTTGAAGATTTGACTTTGGAGAAAAGTCATGCCACAACAATCCTATAATGTAGGATACAGACCCAGAAGACCTGAATATCATGGCAAACAAACAAATGTTTGACCTGTTCCGGTAGAGCACTATGAAGTTTGTATCAGATCTGTTTTATCACAAAGAGGCAAATGCACTAACATACCGCCTCCAACACACACGCATATATCACAAACAGAATTAGACATGTCATTAAATGAACATAGCTTTTAATAGGACGCTCACCACGATAAACCGAAAAAAACCTTGAAAAGATAAAGTGATTTAGGCCATGTGTCTCCTCTTTGTTAATGCTTGTTATGCTTAAAGACATTTTGAAAGTCGTATAATTTGCTTTGTAGTCGTATTTCTGTAAAAATAGTATTTCTTTTGTTCAAGACGTACAGCCTCCAGTGGTGGTTGGTTGCCCTTCTGATATGAATATTGTGACAGAAAAGCCGAACACCTATGTAAATTGGACTGAACCCACTTTCATCGATCCTATGGGAACACCTATCATCACGACCCGTAATTTCCCCACAAACCATTGGGAATTTCCATGGGGAGACTTTACAGTGCAACTAACAGCCACGAAGCCGGGAAATGGTCTTTCAACGGAATGCGTTTTCGATTTAAAAGTTCGTCGTAAGTATAACTAGATAGCAGACCCCGATTCTAGAAACACGTTTCTAATAATAAAATTCTGTATACGGAAAGCATTGTACAATTTTAAGGAAAATCCTTATTGACCTTAAATAATCATCCAGAAACACCATTCAATATCAGTTTTTATTAAAAGGTGAAATGGAAAAACACATGCGTGTTTCTTCCATTCATCTTTCAATTAGATAATATGTGCTGCACAAATATGTAACCTTTAAATAAAAATAATAAAGAATAAAAACTGTATTGGGAAATGTCATCGTGGAAAGCCGGTAATAATGAATCTTAAATAAAGCCACTATACTATGAAATGGACGCATGCAGTTACAGGGAAAGATTAGACCTGCTTTACTCCACTGCATGAGTAATGAGGGGCTTCTACAGAATCGGGGTTTTCGTCTGAGCCTTCCACTAAGGGGACGCTGGAGAAACCAAAATGATCTGCTGCACCCATTGTAAACCTCTGTATATTTCTCTTACTTATTTCTCTATGGATATAGGACAGGAGTGAAGTCCAATGCCGATTCTGGTAGCAAGACTTTCTTCGTCCTGCATGCCCAACACTTGTTGATATGGTTTTTTGGTGGAGATCTCAACAGTTTAAAATGTATGACCTAGTGAAAAAGTGTTCAAGGTCGGTCACAGACACCTGGGGCCATATGGCAGCTTCTTTGTATTCATTTCAACAATTGAAAATATGGTGATAGAGTGAGCCTCTCGACAATTATCAAGTTGTGATCCAGAAACAAAGTTCCTAGGGGTATGGCCACATTCAAGAGTCAATTATTATATCACAGTTGTGTTAGTCTCTTTATAATCAGCAACTGAACATATGCTTATAGAGTATTGATCTCAACTGTTTCCAAAGTTGTGACCCAGGAACAAAATGCCAAGAGGTGTTGCTAGACCCTAGGGTCATTTTATCATGCATACATATATACATGCATACATACATACATACATATATACATACATACATACATACATACATACAGACAGACAGGCACGAACATAATAATGTTATAATGGTTGACACTTAGGCCTAAGATAAAACATGGAAATAGTTGAGATCCTCACCAATAACCATATAACCTATTGGTTAGTGTAAATGATGAATAAATATATTTTACCAGGTTTGTACTTGTTTCTGGCCCGGACCTAAGATATTTATAATTGTTTTAAATATTTCCGCCACATAACCATATGTACATTTTGAGGCATAAAGAGATGAACACAATTATGATATTGGCTTCATTACTATTTATAAATGATTGTAATATATGTAAATCATGTGAGGAAACCAAAGAAAACATTTTTGTATTTCATGTAAAATGTAGTGAGGTGTAATTGATGATTAGCAAAATATCTGCCCTTGTGACTGACAAGGCTTTTTATAACTAAACAATGTTTTTTATGAGTTTCAAATTGTGTCTAGGTGTGCGTGTATGTGTGTGTCTGTCCGGAAAACAACTTCTTCTTAAGAAATTTACCTATTTCAACGAAAGTTTCCAGATGTGATAACTACCACCTGAGTTATTGCCTTGTCATGACAACTATTGGGCCGACTTCAACGAAATATCACAGATATGGTAGCTACCACCTCACACTGTGTATTTAAGTAGTATCTTTTCATTCCAACCCTTTTAAAAAGAGTTCTTGCCCTTTGTTGAAAAATCCGTGCCCGAACAACTCTTTCTAAACTACAAAGCCGATTTTAGTAAAACTTTACAGATATGATAGCTACCCTCTGTTAATCATGTTGTTGTGTACTTCCTATTCATTATTTCATTTGTTTTAACTCTATTTAGAATAACTTTTTGGGGGAATCATAACTTTTGTCCAACATTTCTAATTTCGGGATATGGCGAATTGAGGGGGATATCTTACTTTGCCCTCGTTATAGTACTGAACTTTTATTAATGTTCTAAAACTTATAGCAGAAAAGTGTGTAAATTCCTATAGTCAGAATAAAAACTGTCTGTGTATCTGTGTGTGGGATGGTGGAATGTCAAATACAAAAAGTAGGTCACTGTGAACTGTTGTTTTACCTTTGACCTCACCGTCAGTTTGTTATGGGCATATCTTATGCTGGTTCATCTCGGCTAACAGGATTTGGCATGCAAAAATGTTTTGGTATGGGGAGAAAGTACAGGAAGTATGTCACTAACCTTCATACTAGAATAAGTGTATAGCTCAGTAAATAAAGAAATAATTACCGATGGTGGACTTTGGATTGCTTTGCAATACTTTGCCTTAGTAAGCCTTTACCTTACAGTTCTGGTTGAGAAGGGAAGGGAGCGGGGTATTAGTTAGCCTTTGGCTTACAGCACTCGTTCCAATTGCAAAAGATGTTATGGGTTGAGGACCGTTTGGAATTTGTGACCAAAGAAGAAATCTCCATGGGTTGGGCTAGACCCCGGCACAATACTTGTAGCATGTGAATATTCAACGATTTATTCACAGTTATTGAATATCTGGTTATTAGGTTACTCATTTTTAAATTAAAAACGTTTTTGGCAGGGGCGGGGGTAATCAGCTCCTCCATTTATATATTTTCGAATTCCCATCACCGGAAAATGCTTCCACCAAATATAGGCGATATTCTTAGTTTCAGAGAAGAATTAACATCAAGCAATATAGCCAAATAACCTTTTTTTACTCCATCTGTTTTCCCAGCCCCTCCATTTTTACAATTTCAAAATCCCTACCACCTGAGATTGTTTCCAACCAAAATGACAGTAATATGGGTTGTAAGCCCCTCCATTCCCACAATTTTGAATCCCCACCACCTAGTGATGCTGTAGTCATTGGTTAAATTTTAATTGGTACATAGGAAGAAATATTCGTTTGAGGAATGCCATAGTACGGCATAGGCACATTTGATCACATGATCAAGTGAGCTCAAAATGAGCTGTAGTTATTGACTCGCCAAAGGGCTAAGTGAGCTTTTGCCATAGCTCGGTGAAGGTGAAACATAGTATAAAGTGTGGAATCTTAATGAAACCAGTTCTTATTTTTTTTATTTTTTTTAATAAAAAAAATAAAATATTTTTTATTACTAGCCCATTAATGCACTTAATGAAAACATTCTTTGTCCTAGTAATATTTCATTTAAAGAAAAGTTTGTCAAACAGTTCTAAAAGAAAACAAAAGCTTTATAAACAAGCAAATTTGTTCCGGTCTCATCCCGGTAATAAAATACTCGACTTTAACATTTACACTTTAGCCAGCTTTGGGTTCAACGGCCTATCGACGGCTGTGGTCATTTAGGGCCATGGTGTTTTATTTATCTATTTCATTTTTTTAAACAAAGATGTGAGTAGCGAAGATAAAATCAGATAAAAGGTTCATTTTAAAAGCATTCGATTGTAAGTGTAAATAATTAAAATAAAAACGGGGTTAAAATAATAAAAGAGATAACGAATAGATGATATGGACTATGTGATATATATAACGTCAAAAAAGGGTAAGGTTGTTTAAAAGACATCAGAGTCTATAGAATAGACCGATGTCTTTCAAATAGTTAAATAATGCCTTCGATTCCACGGAACTGAAAAGAGTTTTCATATTCGAGACTCGAACGTAGTTATCACGAATGTGTTAAAAATCGGAACATTCTATTAAAAAATGTTCCACTGTAAATGGTGTGTCACATGTGAGGCATGAAGGTAGATCTTCTCGTTTTAAAAGGTACGAATGAGTAGGATATGTGTGCCCAGTACGGAGCCGAGCGAGGACAACTTCCTCTCTACGATCTTTCCGACTGGGAATAGATGTTTTAAGTTTCGGTTGTACTTTAAAAAGTTTGTTGCTGTCATTCATTTTAAATGGCTGTACGAATAATAGGTTTAAAATCTGTATATAGTAGTTTGATATTTGTTTGTTGGAGATTTAATGCATTTTTATGGCTCGGAATCCATAGTAAAGTTATTTTAGACTTTTTTAAGAAACGAGATATTCGAAGAGCAAGGTTTTGTACTAGTGTGTTTTTAGGATCTCGTAACTGTAAACTAGAGTCTGAACAAATGATTGTCTCTTTAATGCGGTGTTCATCGATATAATCGAGGGCAAAAACCAAAGGCGCATGCTTCGGCAGAAAAGATGGAGGAGCCGTCTGGTAGTCGAACTGAAGTGCAAGAACTAGCAGTACAGCAGGCTGCTTCCACTTTCTCACCATCTTTGGAACCATCGGTGTAAAGTTGTGTATGAGAAGAGTAATTCGAAATGTATTTCCGAAAGGAGGATTTGTGTTCTTCGGGCATAACAATTGATTTCCCTAGCTCATGTAATGTTAAGTTAAAGTCAGGTATTTGAATGGTCCACGAAGGAACATCAGATATGTAAAATTCAGCTGTGTCAGTCAACGTTATGTTGAGTTCTTGTAGGAAATTTGAAATTCGGATACCAAATGTTGGCAGAAGTTTTGGGTTTTGCGTAAATATGTTTTGGTATTTTCGGTTGAATACTTGGTCGAAAGCAGGATTTTAGGGTTTGATTTTAATTGAGCTGCAAACTGTAATGCAAGTTTTTTTCCTTCTGTCAAAAAGGGATGGTTCATTCGCTTCCACGTACAGTCTTTGTACAGGTGTTATTCGAAAAGCTCGCCCTTGGTTATGGATTGAGTCTAGCATCTGCAGTTACGAACTCCGCGCCGACCCGTATACCATAGAACCACAATCCAGTTTTGGTCGAATAAGTGATCTGTATAAGCGCAAAAGCATTTCACGGTCCACTCCCCTATCAGTATGAGAAAGGAATGTTTAACGCCTTAGAACACTTATCCTTCAGATACTCTATATGTAGTATGAAAGAGAGTTTCGAATAAAAAATGAGGCCGAGACATTTAGTCTGTTCAACAACAGGAATTCTAGTGCCATCGAGTGTAAGATTTGCTTTTCGTTTTGACAGAAATGCATGCACACAGTTTTATATTAGGAGAATTTAAAGCCGTTTTCGTCTGCCCAATTTTGTAGTTTGTTTAAACTCTGTTGAAGTTGTCGTTCTATCGTGTGCATGTTCCTAGATTTATAACAGATCAATAAGTCATCCACAAATAACGAACCCTTCTGCTGATTGACCAAGTCATTTGACTATATCATTGATTTTAAGACAAAACAGGGTGACTGATAGGATTCCACCCTGTGGTACTCCCATTTCCTGTTTAGATGTTTCATAAAAAGTTGAACCAACACGGACTTTGAAATGTCTATCTGATAGGTAACTAGATATAAAATTGGGGAGATTTCCAAGTACGCCAAGGTCGTGAAGAACTTTCATGATGCCATACTGCCATGTAGTATCATAGGCCTTCTCAAGATCAAAGAACACGGCAACAAGGTGTTCCTTCTTGGCGAAAGCCTCTAGAATGAATGCCTCGAGTCTGATGAGATGGTCATTTGTCCCTCTTCTGTTTCTAAAAGCACTTTGAAGAGGGGATATTATATCGTTGGCCTCAAGAAACCAAACCAGTCTTGTGTTTATCATTCATTCTAAAGTTTTTCATACACAACTAGTCAGAGAAATAGGACGATAGTTGTTTGGGTCCTTTCCCGGTTTTGGGATAGATATAATTGTGGAGTTCTTCCACGAATCGGGAATTTTTCTGGAAGCGTAAACTTGGTTGAATATGTAAAGAAAGCATGTTAGTGACGAGTCCGGTAAGTGCTTGAGAAATTGATATAGAATATCCTCAGGACCTGAAGCGAATCAACAAGTTCTGGTAGGATAAATGGTATTTCAATCAAATATTAAGCGACAAGTTCTATTCTAACAGTTAATCTTTCCCATATCATTGTAGCGTGTCAGGAATTATGATTTTTTTGTGTATTTTTAGCCAATCAGTGCTCTGATTTGAACGTCCCAATCGGTGGTGCAAAGGTGTGCAATGGCTGGAAAACAGACTTCGGTCAGTACTGTTTGTTTTTCTGTGACGCCAGTCATGATGTGTATATGGGCACGGACATCAACCAATGGTACATCTGTGGAGCTAGCGGCGCATGGAAACCGAGTGATAAACTCCCTGACTGTGAAGGTAAGCAAACAAAACCCCTTGATATATTCAGTTTCGAAACATTACAACTTTACACGAACAATCCATAAAAGTTACTACACTGTTTCTCGCTTTGTAGGTCCAAGATCGAAAAACTAATATACCTTCAGTGACAACTAAAAGGAAACTAATATGAAAACTCTCAGCAGATTTGGGGATTCACTTTCATCTGTCTAACGTCCAAGCTGAGGTCATTAAAGGACATGTCACCTATGTGTGTAGTTCATGCGTGCATGCTATTTTTGCGATAGCGTTGATCTGATGCCGTGTATATCATGTCCATGAGTCTAGCGGCATTTGTGAAGCTATGGTTAAAAACTTCAAACATACCTCATATGAAATACCATGCCCGAAAGTACCAAGCACAGTATTACAACCTGTTACATTACACTGTGCTACATTACCAAAAATGCTTAATGTTTAGCCGGAATAACATTTTGAAGGATTTTAAAATTTGCCTTGGGAATGGAACCCATAGCCTTCCTCATTTTTTGCAAACGTTTAATACTGAGGCCAAAAGGGAGGTATTGCCAAGCGATGCGCTAGGAAACAAGATGTCTGTTAGAAAGTAGGGAGAAATACAAAGAAAAAATGTGGCGATGATACTTTTGGTCACCTTTGTGTCCCTAAGTCCAGAGCACAAAACAAAATCACCGATCTTGCGAGGGGTTCTCACATCAATTGCCTTTTATAACATGCAGTAGGTAACCTGTGGGAGTGGACAAGAAAAGTGTTTTTGTTTTAAGTAGTTGCTCTGCCATTGAAATTTGATTACTTTCATTCAAATGATATTTTACGAAAGGATTGATATTAACAACCTTTTTTTAACTTAACAGCATCGTTCAATTGGAACAATCGGACGGGAAATGAAAATCAGGAATTTCACTTCGAAACATGCACCGATCCACATGATTTAGCTACACTGCGGGAAGCCTACATTGAGCGTTTGCAGAGGTCCCAATATGCGTACTTCTGCAGTGCCTACGTCGATATGTGCTCCCCATCGAATGTTGATGTGTTCTGTTAAATGCAGAGTTTGGTATTGAAAAAAGAAAACATTTGCGAAATTCTGAGGTTATCCAACAAGAAAATTTTCAAAATCGATTTCTCAATCGTTTATGCAAATGAATTTGCTTTGAACGTTTATAAATACTATGTAAACAATTAAGAAAACACTGCTGAGTTTTTATGTTATTGTTATTGTGTTATTCTTTACCTTAGTGAATCGTTGACAGGATGAAAGAAACCTTACAGAGTAATATAACTATGTAGATATTATCTTGAAATGCTATACAACGTGTATTCGCAAGCTTATTGCATATTATCCACAAAGGTTCAAACGAGATGAAACATCAAATTGACAAGTTTGATATTGTAAATGCTGAAGGTTTTGCTTTTTCCAAAAAATGCAAACCAATCGAAAAAAACCCAAAACAATGTGAAGCCTGAGGAACACATATATTAATTATTTTCCTCAATAAAAGATATTACAATCAACCATTATCACTAATAGAACTCGTAGCAAAAATCTCATAATTTTGCAACCGGACATGATAATATACATTATCAACTAATGAAACATTTATCTGAATAATAATTCAAAACATTCTTAGAATTTTGTGATGAGATATTTCAGACTTTAGTTCATGAAAAATCAACAAATATTTCTATCCTTAAACATGGAAAAGACAGCATTGATCATTCTAACTGTAGCCCAATTAAAATCACAAGCTGTAGTTGTAAAACTCTCGAACGGATGATAAATTCTAGGCTGATATGGTTTTTGGAAAGCAATTGTTAAGTTAACTTCAAACGTGGTTGACGAAATTGGTTTTAATACATTTTGTCATTGACGGAAAAGCAATGACAATCAGAGTCTCACCCTTGACGGTCAACCCACTCCTGTAGTTTAACAAACTTAATTCCTTTGCGTTATATTACATAGAAAAATACCTTACCTTCCTCATATCATGTGCTTTAAAGCAAAATGTATTAAAGCACTTAACTTGACATTCATAAGATCTAAACGGGATTATTGATCCATTGCTTATGGATCTTCTAGAGAATCATACATTCAATTATTGGATACCGTACATAACCAGGATCTAAATTTTGCACACAATTGTAGCTTGAAACCACAAAGGTTTCGATTCTATACATGGTAACAAACGAACCATCGTTTTTAAATTGTTGAAGGAAATTATCATAGCAGTTTGAGTCAAACCCTTTAAATCAGGCCTTTTCATTCGTATTCAATCCGAATTGTTCAACTTTATTTCAAAATAAACCAAACTGTATTCAAACTAAAAACTATGGTTTTTGCATTTCACCCCTTTTTGGAAAATGCCAAAATAATACTGACACTATCCAATCATTGACAACACTTGATGTCCCTCCATGTCTTTTGATTTTGTCCGAGGTTGATATGTCGCTCAATGGAACAGGAAAACATGATTCTGAACCTTACGCCTTTCGTTCATCCTTGTCGAACATTTACAGTCAAACATTTTATCATTGAGTATGCTGATTTCAAACAAAAACATGACAGATTCTATAATGTATCGTCTATGAAAAGATGATTTGAGACAGTTTCATTGTAATCTATAAATGATTTTTACTCACAATTTATCTTTAAAAGAAAATCTGATATATTTTTGGACCAATTCGTTCACTGTTGAAGCATTTTTATATTTGTACACCTTTTAACCTTTTTTTGGTTGATTTATTCATTTTTATAAATGTCCATTTTGCAGTGTTATTTGGTCCTAAATGACTCGCATTGTCGATGGGCCATGAAACAATACAAAAATAAACAAACAAAACAACAAGAGCTGTTTGAGAACAGCATAGCTCGCCTATTGGCGATATATATTGTAAGATAGCAAATATCAATAGAAACAAACGAACAGTAAAACTTCGAAATAATGCGCGTCATTTCATTGCCACCTCACTTCCGCCAACATATTTTTAGGTCCCTGAAGTATGTTTTTCTTCAATTTATCGCCAAAACCCTTTATAATGCCTACATTTCTTTGAACAAATGATGACAATATAACAAGGTTTTGCTGTACCTTAACTTGTAAGAAGAGATGACCAGCCAACGTGAAAAAGTCAACAGCGTATTGATCGTGGTGACCTATCGAACACTGCACAAAACAACTTGCCCAAAATCTTTAATCAAGTCTAACTAACCAGTGTAGGCCCCTAAGATATGAAAATAGGGTTCACATGGTTTACACTCCATGTAAATACTCAAACTTTATAAAAGGCAACAGCCTATTGATGGTGGTGCTCCAACACTTCACAAAAGAAAACTTGCCAAAATCTTTAACCTCAAACTCGCACCAAAACTTTAACAAATTACAATTAAACTGTTTCTGGCCCCTAAAATACGAAAATATGACTACATTAGCCCCCCTATTCTCCAAATAGGCGAGCTAAAAAGCGGGGCTTTGATACTACCACCTGTTGATTTTAAACATCAATTTTCACATTTTAAACCGTTAATGAGTAAAGTTTAAGTGGCAAAGTAATTGGAATCGATGTTTAGACAGCAGAGAATACTCTCTTATGCCTAAAACCGTTGAATCGGGTCATTCATGATTTCTCCATTCTTATTTATTGGATCGCGAAAACCAATTTTATTGCACAGTATGTCACGAACCATTTACAATACACGTAAAACACTTGTTTTTAGATTGCATTGACCTTCAGCCATCACGAGACTTTTTGTAACAAAATAACAAATCTCATATATCCATTCAGTATTTCGTTAGTAAATTGTTCAAATGATAACCTTACTTTGAAAGAACAATGTTATGCACAACGGTTTGAAGTTTTGCTCAAACGTTTTCACAAGCTCAAGTTACTGTTTACGAGATTCAATCCAACAGATAAGAGAAAATATCAATTTAAAATCGACCCAATGAAAATAATACGATGGTAGGTGCTAAGACCTTTCTGGGATCTCTTCTGTATGAACTGAGGGTGTGTCCCTATGTGAGCAGAGGGGGCGGGACCCTTTAGTGGAAATAGAGGAAAATCTTTTAAATCCTTCTCCTTCCGCAGCAATGCATGGATTTAAATCAAATTTTATCAAAAATATCTTTTGGCAAATATAACTCAATTTTACATAAACGAAGGGCATTGAATTCTTGAAGGAAAGTATGCCATTTTGCACTTGAGTGGTTTGTTAGTTGAATCACAAGAAAACCCAAGTTTTTGCTTGCATGTACTGACCAAATGTACTGGTCCTGGCCAATAATACCCTAGCAATAGGTTACTATATACCCTGGGGCAGTAATACATAGTTGATCTTCAAGTGGCCATCACATTCATGATGGGAAATAAAGTGTCCACTCATAATATACTGATTTTAAGCTGGTGATTAACTGATACCTGTGTGTATGTGTTATACACTTTACTTTCATCTTTTGTGGTCTACATATTAAAATTGCACTTTGCTTCGGTCTATTTGAACTAGTTTGCTATCTACAGCGAAATCGGAAAACATTGTATGAATTTATGATAGATTTTACTGAATAAAAATCCGTTAGAAGAGATGTGCCAGACTCTTTGTAATATATATTGAACAGATTTAGGGATACGTATGCATGCATACACATGTATATACACATAAACTGCCAATTGTTAAAAAAGTTCATGAAGGAGATTCCACTAGCTCAAACTTAAAAACATACCCGATAATAAAATGTGTTATTTACGTACCCCTTAAAGACAAATAATACTTATAATAGACTTGTGAAAATGCACTTGTAAAGTGGCCGAACCGACTTCTCTGTATGCTTGGTGAGCAGGTCGACTCTTTCGAAGGTGATGAACTTTCGTACGTACTCTACACTTGGTCAAGCCGCTAAACAGACGTATTCTGCGTACTGTTGGTCTTATCGTAGATTGCAGTTGCCGTAGCAGGCTAACCTGATAACTAACAATCATAATACTTAAAGCTTCTGACTACAATTGGTGTCAGAATTACATATCATTAACAGCTATAACTATCTCCGTACGCGTTTACATATACATCGAACGGTAACTATGTATAACCACGCCACGCGTCAGTGTTATAGGCCGGGGCCGTTGTGTTGTGAGTACACGCTCAGTTGATATTGTGATAGCTTGCGCCGGTTTCGAACGGGTTGTAATTTAAACATGTCACACACTATCAACGCAGCGACCTATAATGAACTGTTCGGAATAAGTGTAATAGGTACGAGCAGGACTCAGGTCATTATTGGAAAGCGGTACGAGTGTGACAATACGTTGACGTGAGAAGATTTGAAAGGAATTTCAAGCGTACTTAGCACTAAGTAGGAATTCGTGTCCCTTGAGCCGGTGGCTTCTGGGGGCGAGGTTGGGGAGAATAGTTTGGTTGATAGTGCGGCTTCACAACATGCTTTTAAGAGGTAGGTAAGGGAAAAACAATTTAGGATTAGGAAGGATGAACTAGCGAGAAGAAAAATGGAAATAAAGAAGCGAATAGATGAAAGATTTTACCCGTCAGCTTAGGGAAAAGGATGAGCAACTTCGGATGCCCCGAAGTCTAAATACAGTCAAAAATGCTCACGGCTGTCTCGGTAGCCGTGATCGCTAACGCGCACAGTCATTGTACTACTGTGTGCTATCAAGCGGGAGCTTCAGACCACTCGCTCTTCCAAGAATTTCGGTTCGATCCCCAGCGGTGGTAGAAAAAAGAGAGTGATGTCTGATTGGGCTAGTTGTTATCCCTCCGATGGCAAGGTGGTTTCCCCCCGTGGGTTTTCCTCCACCACGAAAACACCATTTGTTCCCTTAGCGGTGTCGTAATAAAAGCTCTACAGAGCTTATGTTTGTTGTTGACAATGGTACACGACGTTAAATAAAGATTATTATTATTATTTTATTATTATTTTGTTTTTAAAAGGCCAAATTGGGACAAGGGGCTAGTGATAAAAATACTTTTGAGGGTCGGGGTTCTGAAAGTGGAGACGGCTGGTATAAGGGATGAGTTGGACAGGAAGGTTAATCAGCTCCCGACATATGACGGTAGGACTGAATGGAAACAATTTTTTGTTCAAATCTCCCACATTGGTGACCGATATGGCTGGTCAAATAGACAAAGGCTGAATAAGCTTATTGAAAGACTCTGCGACAAGGCCTTAATGTTTTTCAGCTCCCGGCCGTTGCATGTACGTGCCGATTTTAATGTCCTTTGCTCTAAACGTAGCAAACGGTTTGGGAAGCAGGATCTTGACCACATTGATAGACATGAGTAAGCAGAGTTACGTCAAAGTTCGGAGGAAACTGTAGAGGAATATGCCGAGAGAGTTCAGGAGCTGGCTTCTGACGGTTATCCCGGAGCATAAGAAGACTTCGTAAAAATTATGTCAGTTGACAGCTTCCTGAAAGGCCTGCTTGATATGCGTGTAAGTTAGCACTTGCAGTTCTTGACAAGGCCAATAGCACACTTGATAACACTCAAGCATTAGTAAAGGGTGCTATGATGAACCAAAAACTCATACATGGGTCTACTAAGCAGTTCAATACCTGCATAGGGTATGACAGTGCCAATACTTTGTACGGTGTTAGGGAAATATTCCTTTACTCTGATAACGATTTGCGACAGAGGAAGGCTCTGTTGCTTCCTGTCAAACTTCACGGTAAAGAATGTCAAGCCGATGTATATATTACTGCTCAGGTTTCTGTATTTAGTACGAAGTTGTTTAACTCATTGAACCTGGGACCCAATCTTTCTTTGCTTGGGGTGGGGACAGACTCAAGGATCGGCGGCCGAATTTTGACAAAACATTCTTTGAGCATAAGGGGTAGACCTGTAGTGCCCCAAGCATACTTTAACTGTGCGCAGACTGAATTTGTAGACGGTCCCAAGGGACTTAAACTCGTAGTTCATCCGTGAAGGGACATAAAGGGCCTTCTTTCCACTTAACGGAAAGACAGTGACAACATGCCCGTCAAACTATGTAACCCTACCGATACATGTGTTACCTTTTCAACGGTTGTAGCTTTGGGACTGCAATGGAGGTCGAGCATGTAACTGAGGAGGATCAGACGGTGCCTTCGTCACCGAAGGTTTATAGAGAAGTTGAACTGGAGTAGACAGGAAATTGGATGACCGACTGAAGAAGGCAAGATCAGCAATTCCTGCCTCCTTGATTTATCTATTTGATCGTTCAGCAGGAAAGTTGTCACCAGATCAGGCAGTAAGGATTGCTGAACTTTTGTAAGCCTTTCGAAAATTCTATGCTAATCGAAATTTGGACCTGGGATTGTTCGAGGGGATATTCAACTCCGGATAGAAACATGTGACCAGAAGTCTATGTGACAACGGATGAGGCGTACCCCCTTAGGTTTTGTGGCTGAGGAGTATGACAATTCCCCATCTGATAGAAGGACAGGCATGTGTCCGTCATTTCCGAACAGAGATCCGGAACATGCTGCTCGGAAGAGGTCGCCACCTCAAAGACTGTCGTACAATGTACTCGGAAGCTCACCTTCAGGCTGTTGAGAGGCAGCAGCTGATTGAATCTTCCGTTTCGAATTGTTGTATCAAATGTGCGTCTATTTTAAATTGGGAAGAGTGTTGTGAACATGCTTTTGTAGAGTGGCCTAGCCGTCGTCCCTGTTTGTTCGGTAAGCAGGTCGACTCACCCGAAGGTGATGACCTGTCGTGGATGACAATATCGAATGGTATTTTGCGTACTGCTGGTCTAATCGTAGTTTACACTTGCCTTTGCAGGCTAACCTAATAATTAACATTCAGATAACTTTTAGCTTCTTACTACAATTGCATCTTTTAAGTGTGGGCTATAAAATGTTATCAATATATCATAGAATACAGAAATAGATAAGCAATTTTACTTGTTGAAAATGTGCGATTTTATGGTCAAAATTGCGAGTTTCCGTCAAAAAATATATGTGTATGTAGATAGCATAAATATTCTCAACGAATTTGGGTTGCTTTTTATCTACTCCTCAATGTCTTTCGGGTAGAAGATATTTACGTGTAGCAAAGGCTTATTATATGTTTTAAACATGTGAAGCACACATATTGTTTTGAATCTTAGTCTCATAATGTCTTGCTATGTCTCAAGTTACTTATAGTTGAGTTTCTAACGTTTAATACAACTTTTGATTATCATTGTTTATATAGTTGGGTTGGCTTAAGGTTCGATCGTTGATAATTATGTTATAGAAAATCAATGGTACAGACCAAGGTCACTGGCGTGTCATAGTGACAATACGTGATTGGAACAATGACATGAAAATTAAAAGGATATATTAAATTACGGTGCATGCTCAATAACACTTTATGCAATGTTATAGAATTAAATGCATTTGAACGTCTGAGCATGTGCTGCCTAGAAATCACTGTGTAGCACACATCTGACACGTTTTGTATAGCTGGGTAAACACTGACAGTAAGGGTAAAATCTTCTGATCATGAATACACAAGGAAGTACGGGCAAAGTCACCGCCAGCCAATGACAACCTACGGTACATGATGTAGGCAGATCAAGACATATTTTAGAATTTGCAAAAATGACCCAAAAATTGTGTCATAATGCCATTCAATAATTTCCCATCTATACCATGTAGCTCAACTTTTTCTAGAGAACACTAAATACATTCTTATATACACATATACATCGTTCTCATCAAAAGTGGACAGTGACCGCCAATTTTCTTTTTTTAAAATTTAAGTTTAAGATGCATGTTGGGTACACAATAAGCCAAGTTGAAAAACAGTTAGGTGATCCATCATCCATTCTAGAAGCGGTTCTTATAACACTGTTTACTCCAGATCTCTTACAACTTTCACAGGGATTAAATGATGGTTCTAATTAGTAACCTGAGCGTGTTGTAGACTAAGAACAAATAATATCTGCTTTCCAAACTAAATACTTAAAAATATCCAGACCTTAATCTTCCAACTTATCAGATTCAATTTTATATGTTTCACTTATCAAATACTCTGTACGAGAAACCCAATCAGATGTAGATCTATCATTCTGATTTCTGTAAAATATCTAACCACTTTGGTTTTAGTTTGAAACAGTTAGAAGTCTTGTTACTTTGTTTAAAAAAGGGCATATCTGAAAAAGTGGATACATAAGATTTACTGACGGACGTCATAAACTCCGATCTGTTGTTTTATAACAGATTTTTTTTTACAGTTTTGTTAGGTCAAAGTACGCATCGTACCTGGGTATTTGGATAAGAAGGAAGAAAAATTCAACACTGCTTTAAGAGACATCTTATACTCAAATGATAAAAAAACCCATGTGGTCGGCCAACGCAGCGATTTGTTTTCATATTTTACCACAACGTTGCCAGACTGCAGACAATATTGAGAAATTGATGGTCACAGCTCACTGGGGTCTGATTTTGGCAGATTGGAACTCCTTGCAGTTTTCCTGCTCAGAACGTTTAGTTATACTTGCTCAAGAGCATGGAAAATCATTATTTTAATATAAAGCTGATTTTCCCGCTATAATGCTGCTGCTAAGGTGTTGTTGATCATTTTGATACCAAATACTTATTTACTAGAATCTGTGATGCCAGTAGTTTGTCAAAAAGGGAGTCCAAAATGAGCTCAAACAAGCACTTGACATAACATCACCTTCCTAGTGTTATACTTTATAGTGTCAGTCCACCAATTTGTATTGCTCAAGGGATTGAGGAGTCAACTGAAATAACGGCACTTCCTAAGAAACGATAGTCGGAAGAGATAGGGAAGATCTCAAAATCAGAAAAATAAAGACTGATTTTAATCGCGATTGAACGCTTTTTAATTTGCACTGTCAGCTTTAACTTAACTATATGTATCTTCAATGGTAGGAGGAAATCATGTAGAAATTATAACCAAAACATAAGATATGAAAGAGGAAGTTACAGTTGTGTGGCCGCACAACGCACCAAAATTAGCGTGCGCACATCGCGCATACATCGAGCACACATCGTCCGCACATCATCATCACATGGTGCGCACAACTGTGCGATTTAACAATCGTTCGCCCGGTTGTGCGCTTCACTCCGCACAAATGTGAAATTTGTTACAATTGGTTGATCAATACCACGGAATGAAAAATATCCGGAAGGCTCGTATGGAATAAGGAACACTGCACATTTTTCAATACATTAATCAAGACTATGTTCAATTTTACAATGCGTGTTAAATAATAATGATAATAATATACAACATTTATATAGCGCCTTATATAATTTGTAAAATTACTCTAAAGCGCTTTACAACATATGGATAATAGTAATGGTTATAATTGTGAAAAAAACCCAAAAACAAAGGCGTACAATCACTTTTGTACATTTAAGCAAGCAATGTGCACATAATTGAACAAATAAAAGGGTGGTATTTACATGACGTCTTTGCAAAGATTCTAAAATGTAGACGTGAAGAGGTTTGAATGTCCCTCTTGAACTTGGCCAGGGTATTTGACTTTCTAATAGCAGACGGTAAGCTATTCCACAACGAAGCTGAAACCCTCCCAAAGCATCTGTTTCCTAAGGTCACAGTACGAGATTTTGGGACACACAACACAGATTCTGATTCCGACCGCAGTGATCGTAACGGCTGATAAAGGATCACAAGCTCCTGTATGTACCGAGGAGCTGTTCCATTCAGTGCCTTGTATGTGTACACCCAGAAATTTGTACTGCGACCTGTATCGTACAGGTAACCAGTGCAACGAATAAAGCACAGGTGTGATGTGCTCATTCTTTCGAGTACGAGTAACTAGCCGTGCTGCAGTGTTCTGGACCCTCTGCAGACGACTAGTTAGTTTGTCAGATATACCACAGAGCAGGGCGTTACCATAATACAACCGAGAGGTAACAAGTGAATGAACCAAAATCTTGCATCCATCTGCAGTTAAAAACTGCCAAATACAGCCGATGTTCCTGATCTGGTATAACAGGATTTGGCAATAGCGTTCACTTGTTTCTCCATGTTCAGTGAACTAGCAAAGTATACCCCTAGGTTTTTAACAGCTAGAACAGTCTCAATAGTGTTCTGGCACCGACCTTGAGCTGGAGAGCCATTGCTTGCTGCCACTTTGGGGAAAAGACAATTAGTTCCGTTTTTTCCTGATTAAGCTTAAGCATGTTTGCGTTCATCCAGATACTGATATCTGTCAGACTAACTTCCAGACTTTCTGAGACTGTCTTCCAACTGTCCTGTGGTTTGATGACCATGTAAATTTGTTTGTCATCGGCATAGCAATAAACAGTATTACAGTTACTATTAGACTGTCAAGAACGGATTTGGCTCCAAGGTAACAGAACAGGTAAATAATATTTTGATGTGTGCCCAGTGTTTTACCTGGCGCCATGTCCCTGACATAGTGAGCCGAAATATGATACCGTATTACTGTTATGAAAACACAACTAGATGTTAAGTGTGTGTTATTTGCATTCGTTTTGGTATATAGCTCCCCTTTACCGGAATTGTCACATCTTGACGAGTTACCTAAGCGCCTGGTGGGGAAAACTACGGTCCACGTACATGTACATAGTGGCTAGGTTTACTTGTGTATGGGACCGTGTCCATCTGTGTTATAATTTTACATGTGTCGTTTTTGGTCTTTGGAAAAAACCACCGAAACATATGTTACTGTTTGTCACTTTTGGGCCGAATTAGGGACATGTGAACCATACCTCTTGGGGCCCGATTTAAGGAATTTTGAGGCAATCATTGAAATCCTTCTTCCGTGCCAATGAAGATAGTACCTGTACCCAAAAGGGGACTCAATCTTGCATAAGCAAAAGATATGCCCCCATACTTTGGACATAGTCTGATGCCTTGCCCACCTTAAAATTGAAAATAAAAAACTAGGTAAGGTATTGAGACACGTTAGCCTCTTTGTTTTGTTTGCTTATGAAAATTGTCACCTCTATATATGGGGGAAATTGCAAAAAGAGGTGTTCGTTTGTAACGTTTGCTTATTTTCTATTTGGTGACCTGGACCTTTATGCAAGCATTTTTATGTTAAGTAAACATAGGAATGCTCACTTTTATCATTTTTGTTCAATTTTGACAACGTACTTTTGCTTTGTTTAAAACTTTGTTTTAAAATCCGTTCAGATGTATTCCTTTCACATAGTGCCCACATTCAGATTATAAGAATCTTTTATACCAAGAGGTGAAGGATATGGAAATTCCACCAGAGGGGTTTTGCCAAATTACAAAATCCCGAGGGTTGAATTTTCCTATCATACACCCCGTGGCATAAAAGAGTATTTCTGTCTCATTCAACTACCAGAATAATCTCCGAAATATGAAAATGCGCTTGGACTAGCTACCACTTGGAAAAAAAATCGTGACGTCACGTCATTGTTGAATAATTGTGACATATAATTATTCCTCAATTCAAGGTTCTTAATATATATCGAGTTATCACTACACAGGCCGTAGGTCGTCTCAAAGCGGTTCACAAATTATTATCCTTGGTTATAGAACCATTGAAATCAACCAATACATTTCTCAACTCT